ACTTCACGCAGGTTTCTGCATCAAAAGAAGAATTAAAAAAAAAAAAACATTGGTCCAGCCTAGACATGATAAATGCACAGATCAGTTTTTCTCCATCATTTTTGGACAAGATGTTTCTAATTTTAGTGATTTTACTCAGGTAAATTGACAAACTTGTAAGGTGAGTACCTGATTGTATCCATCAGGCTTTATGGATAAAACAGAGTATTATCAGCATAATAATGAAATCATATTATTATGTTATCTATATTAACCTCAGGTCATGTTGCTCAGCCTTTCAGTGAACTAAAGAAAGAACAAAACTTCCCTCTGTGTCTCGATGTGTCCTTCAGGTTCGTTTGGTTCAGAAAAAAGACACTGGCCACATTTACGCCATGAAGATTTTGAGGAAAGCCGACATGYTGGAGAAGGAACAGGTAAGAGATCCGGACATTCACTCAGCTRCCGGTCCATTCCTTATCTGAGAGTCCCTTCTGTCCCACCACAGGTTGCTCACATTCGAGCAGAGAGGGACATCCTAGTGGAGGCGGACAGCGCCTGGGTGGTGAAGATGTTCTACAGCTTCCAGGACAAGAGGAACCTCTACCTCATTATGGAGTTCCTGCCTGGAGGTTCGCACCRATACAGAAACCCAAAACTTGCTTGGTTCTTGGTTAAATCTAGAGTTCTATCCTCTGGTTCCTGTTACCAGGTGACATGATGACGCTACTGATGAAGAAGGACACTCTGTCCGAAGAGGCCACGCAGTTCTACATCGCAGAGACTGTCCTGGCCATCGACTCCATCCACCAGCTGGGCTTCATCCACAGAGACATTAAACCAGACAACCTGCTGCTGGACTCCAAGGTGAGGAAACAAACTCACCACCCTCAGCAAAAAAATACATAAAATACAAGCAGTGGAACAATATCCCTGCTGATGTAGTAACTGATGATACATTATACGTGTTTTTTTCTTGCAGGGTCATGTGAAACTGTCAGATTTCGGCTTGTGTACGGGACTAAAAAAGGCTCATCGGACTGAGTTTTATAGGAATCTGACCCACAACCCACCCAGCGACTTCTGTGAGTCACAGTAATGGAACTAAATACAAATAAAAACCATATAATGAATGCTGCTTTTTAAAATATATATATTTTCTGCATCTTTCAGCATTTCAAAACATGAATTCTAAAAGGAAAGCAGAAACCTGGAAGAAGAACAGGAGACAGCTGGTATGGTTCCTTTCAGATGGTGGAAATAAAAAAGTGTTCATGTGCTGACTGCCACATGCAAACTAAAGATCTAAATGTTCAAATTAAACCAAAAACTTCCTGGTTCCTGCAGTAATTTCTGTAGCTCGGGGGTGTTGCTCATCATTTTCACGATTAAAACAAGTCTGAGCGTCACTTCCTGGTTTCCATGATTTTCATATGTCCAAACACAGAGACATTATCTAATGTTCTGCTTGACTCACAGGCGTACTCCACGGTGGGAACACCGGACTACATCGCTCCTGAGGTTTTCATGCAGACGGGCTACAACAAGCTGTGTGACTGGTGGTCTCTGGGTGTCATCATGTATGAAATGCTTATAGGTAAAAAAACAGCTTGTTATATTAGAGACAGACAGACATGAATAGGTGAAAATTTGTGTTGTGATAAAGACATGCAAACATATAGTTTGCATTTTGGAAACTTCGCTTTGTTTAGTGTAGTTGAATGAGTAATATACTGTATATATTATGTTATTGCTAAATTTAAGTTAGCTAAACCTTACAGTTTTAGCTGGCTTTTTTGGGAYATCTTGCAGTTAACTACACTTTTGTTGCTTTTAACTTTGAACTAGCCTCATGTCACCATTAGCTTTTAGCCACTCCTTGCTKTTTTTAGTTTTTAGCTAMTTTTTTGCTACTTTAGCTTCTAGCTACACTCAAAAAACAGATGTAGTGGATTTAGTTAGAAAAAATACATCAACTGGTTCCACTCAACTGTATTTGAGTTAAGGTAATTTAATTACTTTACATTTACTTAAAGTTAATTTAAAGTACTTTATATTTACTTAAAGTAAATGTAAAGTAAAGGTAACACAAATGTAAATAAAAAAGTAAATTTGTTACCTTTATGCAATCCAGTTGAGTGGAACCAGTTGACATAATTTTTTTTTGTTAAATCTACTAAATCTGTTTTTGGCGTGTAGTCTTATGTTGCTTTATAAATTTTTTTACATTTAGCTTTTAGCTAGCCTTTTGTTACTTTTGTCTTTTGGCTAGTGTTTTGATTCTTTTAGCTTTACYAACTTAGCTTTCAGCTTCTTCAGTAAACTTCAGCAGACGTTCAGCACTCAGCATCCATCTCTAGCTACATTACAAAAGTGTCCTGACTCAAAACAGCACAATCAGAAAACAGATATACATAAAAAAAACCACATAAAATGTCATTACAAAATTAAAACTAATAAAAAATGATAAGCTACTCAGTTAGTTTGTGCAGCAGGAAACACAAATCATYAATCCATTCAGATGTTTGACTATTTAAAACTGAGCTCCTTCAAATTCAGCAGGGTTTTGGAGCTAACTCAACAAATGAGGGTCAGAATAATTGTTATACATTACATGTCCCCTTTCCCCCCTAACTCAGTAAGAGCACTTCAGAAGGAATAAGTCAAGTAAATGATCACAGTAAACTTCTGGACTTTTATGGAGGAAGTAGATATGAATGTAAAAAACAATAATATATTTATAATTGAGGGTACACCCGTGGCCTAATCTGTGAAAGGACAAGATGAGATGAGAAYGAGGAGGAGGAGCCCACTGTCATATTTTTGAAAAGTGCAGAAAATGCACGACAAATGTCCCTATAAATCCAATCCCTGACCTTACTWCATAAAATTAACCAGTAATCTAGATCCCTAATACTAACCACGGACCCCAACCCAAAGACCCCAAAGACCCTATGTGGCCCCAACMCATAAAATTCCCGTGTGTCAATAACTGACGCAAGGTGTTACCCGACACGTCAAAACGGGTGTGATGAGTTGGGAGTGAGAATGTGTTAGATGTTCAGAGCTAATAAAGTGCCAGAGAAGGCCTAAATACAACATAATACATCACAGCATCATCAGCATAGAGGGTGACAGTAACCTTTAAAACTCCATAATCAAACATCTTGACAGACAAAACAAAGAATGACCAAAAATGGATACTTTTCAAACAGTGGGCTCTAAYAGTTCAATGCACATAAGAGCTTGCAAGTTGAGGTGTTTCATATTGATGGATCTTTTTTCAGTATATACTGTATGTTTGTTGGATTCTGCAGGTTACCCACCTTTCTGTTCGGAGACGCCACAGGAGACGTACAGAAAGGTCATGAACTGGAAGGAAACTCTTGTCTTCCCACCTGAAGTTCCCATCTCAGAGAAGGCSAAAGATTTGATTTTAAGGTTTGGAATAGTCTTGTTTTAGTCGATCGGACTCTGAGATTGCATGCTTCTTCTTTTACTTCAAATCAGTGAATGTTTTCTAAAGACTTTTTGCCTGTAAATTCAAGGTACTGCACYGATGCCGAGAACAGGATTGGAGCAGTGAGTGTGGATGAGATCAAGAGTCATCAGTTCTTTGAGTCCGTGGACTGGGAGCACATCAGGTTTRAGAATCAGAGAACCTTTGTTTCTGTAGAACATTCTGTCAAACACAAACAATGTTGACATTTCCTGTTTAAATGCACAGGGAGCGACCGGCAGCCATTTCTATTGAGATCAAAAGTATCGATGACACGTCAAACTTTGATGACTTCCCTGAATCAGACATCCTTCAACCAGGTATGTACCGGTATTGAGTATTTGAGTATTTATTATTGAGTATTTAAGTACCTCTGATTGTAAAACTTAGTTAGGTTCAGAGGTACACAGGTTATTCAGGACATCATTGAATTGACTTTTTGTTTTTGTAACTTTTAGACTTCTTGAAATATCTGGGGGTGATGGTAGGATTACTGGTCAGAAACTAATGAGAATTTTTTCAATATCGTTTTCATATTTTTCTCATAGAAATTATTAGACAACTTCTAATTCTTAAAACRACTTTAAAATGTACTTCTGTATA